TCCACAGGAGCCCCTCCCACCTGAGTGGCATGTTAGGACTTCAGAACCCTCTAGGGTAAGGTGATTTTTGTCATACCTCACAGTAGTTTATTAAAAGGATTTACAAGTTGACTTTATGCCTGTGGGATAAGGAATGATGTGATGTAGAACCCTGGGCTCAAGACCTAGAAAGCCTTACTCTGGCACACCTAAGATTTCTGAGCCTCAGTTTTCTCATCTGTAAGATGGGAGGAAATGCTTATTACCTCATAGGATCACTCGGCAACTCAAACGAGGTGACACAAGTATAGGCACATTACAGATGGAAGGCAATGCCTATGCACGGGGTGAGGAGGGATGGATTTACGTGATTAAAAGAAAGGAGACCAAAACACAACAAGTAACATCCCCACAAGAAGCCTAATGCCTTTGGTTTCTTGCTGTTCCTACCGAGCAGAGTTGAAAGTGAAAGCATAACTTTCTTTGAACACAAAAGATACACCTTCTGTGAGTTGGTATGGAAAGGTGTTGAAAGCAGCTTAAAAATACATGTCCCTAATCCAAAAGAAACACTCTGTTATAAATCAAGGGGTCAAAGATGCAGCTATTTCTGGCGAGCATTAAGACAAACTATGAAAAAATAAATCCTCTGCTTTCAGCATGGCCTACTGGCTAAAACAAAGTTCACCTCTTAGCAACGACAGAAAAATTTTTACTTAGTATTCCAGAGCACACACATTCTGCAAAGCCTCTGACTTCAGTTGTTGGCATAGAAACCTGAAGTAAATGGCTGTGGGAAGAACAGAAACAATACTAGGAAAACTTGCTTGGTGAGCTGTTACTATCAGGAAAGCCTGTGTTGTTCTCCATCACACTATTCTCTAAAAAGAAATGTGTGGTATATATTTATAGTCTCGATTTTCATTTAGGGTGTGAAAGCTAGGAGAAAGTGGGAATGCAGAAATGTGCTGATTTCTCCTTCAAAGCAGTGCCTGCAAAATGCCTTGCTCCATCTCTGGAGGCAGTGTTCGCCCTCTCTACACCCTACCTGCATTATTAAGATCTGGAAGATCCCATTAAAAGAAAAAAAAAGAAATTAAGCGTTTCTTCCTTCCTCTCCAAGACTTAGCACTGCAAAACTTAACAAAAAGTCTCCGCAACTCAATGAAACTTACTCATAAAATAATCATAATGGTGCATCTAATTTACTAATACAAGTTATGGATCAATCAATCCAAGAAGCATTCAAATCCAACTGCTTCCCTTATATCATTCAAAGGAAAAGAAGAAATAAAGAGAATTTTTAAGAATCTTTTTAAAAGATTTTATTTATTTATTTGAGAGGGAGAGCATGTGAAAGAGCACTCCCGGAGGGAGCGGGGAGCAGAGTGAAAGGGAGAAGCAGACTCCCCACTGATCAGGGAGCCTGACCAGGGGCTCAGTCCTGGAACTCTGGGATCATGACCTGAGCCAAAGGCAGACGTTTAACCAACTGAGCCACCCAGGTGCCCTAAAGAGAATGTTTTAAACACACCTAGCTGATGCCACTTCAAATCCACCTTTTAAGTTAAAGACAACATGGTTGATTTAATTTCACAAATCAGAGTCTCCTAAATAGACCCATATCAAATTTACTACATTAAAAAACCTGTTCAAGAACCTTTTGTATAAGAATCAGGATCTACTAGGACACCTGACCAGCTCAGTCAGTAAAGCATGTGACTTTCGATCCTGGGGTTGTGGGTTCAAGCCCCACATTGGGTGTAGAGATTACTAAAGCCAACCAAGCAGAAACAAACTTAAAAAAGAAAAAAGAATCAGGATCTACCAAACTAGAATTAGAATACGTATTCTATTCATAAGATCCAAGGATACAGGCAGAAATGTTAGCTAATGGTAAGCTCCATGCAAGCAGAAACTTTGATTGTCTGTCCACCACTGTATTTCCAGCCTGGAACAATGTCTTGTACAGAAGAGACTATCCAGTAACTATTTATTGAACCAATGAATGAATTTGGCAATAACGATGTGAACCTTCTATGCATGAAGTAAACAGACTCCCTGGGAAGGGCTACAGGGTGCAAAATACCACTGAACGTTTATCCCCATTGCTCAGCTCAGAGGCTCAGGCTTGAAACTCCACATTGTCAAGTCAGAATTTGCACTGTAAATGCAATCTACCAAAGGTCAAGAATAATTCTTTGGTGAATACTAAAAATCATCCTGGAATAAACTGAAACTGGAGGAATGTCAGTCTGCTGACAGAAGAAATAATCGAGGCATTCTTTAAGGCTGCATACTGGGAAAATTTTAAAGCTGAAGCAATCTGAGCCACAAAGAATATGGCTCAGTTTTAACTACACAATGGCAATCTTCTGGTGATTCACCCACCACCACTTTGGTATTACTTACTGAAAAGAATGCTCTGTGGTAGATTATAGAAGCTGAGGCTGTCATGAGAGCTGATACGGAGAGTGCCACAAAGATAATTTGGAATATTAACCCGATACACTATGATGATGGGGAAAAGTCCATGTGTCTCCCCAAAAGTGGATGGAACAATGAGAGCTGAGATATTTTTAAAGAAGTAGAATTATGTTTTGTTACATGGTTTATTAATAATCTTACATGGAATATAAAATTTCCCTAATCTGGCCTCCTCACTTTATAGCTCCCTAGTCATTATAAAAACATCTACTACACTGATTATTTCTCATTGCAGAAAGATATGATTTATTAGAAACACTAGCAGAAAGGCACTCTTTCAGATAAAATAAGTTAACCTCTAACTGACCCACTATTTGTTTTATCTTCACATTGCTGTCTAACTTGGGGGGGAAATATGTGTTCTTTGGCAGGTTAAAGTATGTGAGAGGATAGTTTAATAGTATTTCTAAAGACATCTTTTCTTTAAATGAGATTATGTCTTAAATAAAAAGAGTGATCTTTAGTTTACCTTGTCAGTCTTAAAATTCATTAACAGTATAAGCTCACAGGGTAGGTAGACCATTACTTATCAATTGGCTTTACTTCTCTGAACCTCAACTTTCTCCTCTGTAAAATGTGGGTAACTGTGCCTGCCTAAAAAGGTGGATGTCATGAGTTCAAGAACAAAAAAGCACTTCCTTGTTTACTGCGAGCCTCCAGGGAAAATAAAAATCTCTCAGCACCTGAATGTTAGAGAGGAAGAGATTATAAGCATGAGTCTGCTCGGATTCCAGAACAATCATCAGACTCGCTTGCTTTCCAGTTAGACTGGACAGTGAATTTGCATGACCGTTTAACGAGTAGTTGAGTGTGAATACATTAAATATGCTAATTCACATAAAAGTGCTCAGTAAATGTTAGTTGCTATCATTCTCACTGTTGTTATTATTGACTAGTCCAGGGGAACACCATACCGTGCAGAAAAGATATAGTGGGGAACCAAGGGGATTTTTCTCTTTTTGATTGTGAAGCCTATGGAAGCCAGTGTTCATCAACACTTTGTATAATTTTTTATACTTTTATACTGTCTTCATTCCTCCCTTGACCTCTGAACCTAATTTGGCACTTCCCCTAAGCATCCCGAATCATCCCAAACCAGCTATCAGAATTTCCCACAATCCCCTGATTGTGTGTCAGTGTGCATACATCACAAGTACCCTTAACTTGAAGCCCAAAAGTCCCTGGAGGCTCCAGACCCACGTGATTGCCTGGGGTAGAGCTGTTGAGAAATGATGCGGTACCTGGTGTGGCAATCCTGGCATTAGAATGAGTAAATGAGGGGCACCTGAGTGGCTCAGTTAAGTGCCCAACTCTTGGTTTTGGCTCAGGTGGTGATCTCAAGGTCATGGGATCAAGCCCTGTGTCAGGCTCCCCATTCAGTGCGGAGTCTACTTAAGACTCTCTCCCTATGCCCCTTCCTCCCATGTGCTCGCTCTAATAAATACATAAATCTTCAAAAAAATTAGTCAATTATGCCTGCACTCGTGATGCTAGTTCCAGGAAGTGGGCCTCAGTGGCAGATCACAGAACTTGACCTCCCAAGGCACATTTCCAGACCCCAGCTGCTCCACGTTTGGCTTCAGTAAGACAGAAAAACACTGGCAACAGCTGCCGTTTCTTGCATGGATAACAGCAGAGTTTAAACAATCTCGTTTCAACAGCATGAAACTACACAACCCAGCTAGACCTCCCAAGAGTCCAGGCCCAATACAGAGGAAATTATCAAAGTGTGCAAAGAAATGTCAGGTAAGGACAGCCTGGGTGGCTCAGTGGTTTAGCACCACCTTCAGCCCGGGGTGTGATCCTGGAGACCCAGGATCGAGTCCTACGTTGGGCTCCCTGCATGGAGCCTGCTTCTGCCTGTGTCTGTGCCTCTCTCTCTCTTTCATTAATAAATAAAATCTTTAAAAACATGTCAGGTAAGAATGAGAATGAATATGTGTTCAGTCTTAAGAAATGGTCTCAGACTACTGTGTTCCTTAGGGCCTTAGAATCGCCTCATAGGTGCTTCAGGGGCTGCCTGGGGCTCTGTGTCTGTGGCTGTCTGCAACAGGTGACTCCTGCCCCCCACGATTCCCCATCAAGGATGAAGCAGAAAAACAGCTGAGAGCCTCCTACCCCCACTCCAGTTGGACTGGGGGTGAGAGTGCAGCCTCCAAGGGCAACAGTGGATGATGTAGAGGAGAACCAAGCCGAGTGATTCCCAGAGTCCACAAGGATTCTTTTTTAAAGGAAAAGAAAAAGAAAAGGTGGAATAATTGCTGTAAAGTTGAGAGCCTATTGGTACAGTTGTTTTGAGGAAAAAACAATTAAAAACAAAACCAGGGACGCCTGGGTGGCTCAGCAGTTGAGTGTCTGTCTTTGACTCAGGGCATGATCCCGGGCTCTGGGATTGAGTCCCACATCGGGCTCCTGCAGAGAGGCTCCTGCCTCTTTCTCTCTCTGTCTCTCATGAATAAATAAGTAAAATCTTAAAAAAAATGTTTTCTCAAATACGACGCTGTCCCACGGGTTAAGTAAAATGTCAGACTTACCTTGACATACTGTACAAGACGCTCATTTACGTTCACTTTGTAAGTCTCTAGACCCAGCTCCTTAGATAGTCGTAAGATTCTGTTCTGAGTTGGTCCTACATAAGCCCCACCAACATCTACGTAATCAACATGTTCATTCTGTAGAAAGAGAAAAAGTGACCAGGAGACTTTAGTTAAAACTCAGAAAAAAAAAAAAAGGTTTCTAGGTCTTAAAGACAAAAACATTTATTCTTTACAACTAACGAATGTCTCACTTTCTCCTAAGAAAGCAGCAAGTCTTTCTCCTCCACCCAAGGATTTGGGACACAACCCTGTATGACACTCATCACTAAGCAATCCCATTTGTACAGCTACGAGTGAGGCAATTCGACAATAACATGTATTACACATAAAGAATGCTATCGTACATTGTGCCAATCTAGATCTTTTTCAAAGCATTAAAGTTTTTATCTATGCTTTTCTCTGCGGTTGTTGGTATAGGCCTAATTCTCCAATTTCCAACAGATGAAGTTTTAAATCAGCCCACAATGATGGGCTCTTGATCTTATTTTAAAATACCAGATGGAGCGGGGGGGGGGGGGGGCGCCTGGATTGCTCAGTTGGTTAAGCATCTGCCTTCGGCTAGGTCATGATCCCGGGGTCCTGGGATGGAGCCCCGCATCAGGCTCCCTGCTCGGTGGGAAGTCAGCTTCTCTCCTGCCCTTCCCCACTCCATTCGTGTTCGTTCTCAAATAAATAAAATCGGGCAGCCCGGGTGGCTCAGCGGTTTAGCGCCGCCTTCAGTCCAGGGTGTGATCCTTGGACCTGGGATGGAGTCCCACGTCGGGCTTCCTGCATGGAGCCTGCTTCTCCCTCTGCCTGTGTCTCTGCCATTCTCTCTCTCTCTCTCTCTCTCTCTCTCTGTCTCTCATGAATAAATAAATAAAATCTTTAAAAATAATAATAAGAAAAAGAAAAAGAAAGAAAAAACAGAATGAGGCTCCTGGGTGGCTCGGTTGGTTAAGTGTCTGCCTTTGGCTCAGGTTATGAACCTGGGGTCCTGGGATCGAGTCCCATGTTGGGCTACCTGCTCAGCAGGGAGTCTGCTTCTCCCTCTACCTCCGCCCCTCTCCCTGCTCATGCTCTCTCCTGCTCATGATCACATACTCTCTTCTCTCTGTCGAATAAATAAATCTTAAAAAAAATACTAGCTGGGAAAAATATATCACAGAAAAAGGTACACAAAGGTATAAAAAGATTCATATACCTAACAAATTATTTTATAAATACACCATCCTTCCTTCATAAACTGAAATTTACTTTTTCCTCTTGTGTGCAGTTCTCTATTTTCCCCAACTTTTTTATTAACACATTTCCTGGTAATTTAATCAATAGACTGACATACTGGTGACTTCCACCCCCTCCCTGTGTTTGTAATAACTTCTGGGTCTGTTTCTATTTTGTTGTTTATATCCGTTCTTATCCATGTTGTCTTTGTTTCTTGTTTGCCTGATGATTTTCTATGGCATGCCACTCATTGAATTTGAAAAAATACGGAAAGAATCTGAATCCTAGGAGGATGATCATCTTTCTCAGAGAGGATTTGTCTGTTTCTGCCTAGCACCTGGGGACCCTTATGATACCAGGTAACTTTATTGCATTTCCTGTGCCTGAGACGATTTGAAGCTGGGCTGCAATGTACACCTGCTCTATTCTTCTTAAAGTTCACCCTCAGTCCAAGGACACAGGCCAACCCAAAGAATGAGGACTTTACCAATACCTCCCTCCATATGCACCCACTTTGGTGGGTTCTGGACTTGACCTTCAGTTGCTCTAGCTTTGGATGACTTCTGAAAGTACTACTCAGCCTCTCACTTGCTTCTTCGGTGGTCAGTAAACTCCCACTCCCCACTCCCCACCTCCAGGGGAAAAGTAGGTCAATCCTTTCCAGATGATGGCCCAGTGATTCTTTACCACATTCTTAGTTCTCTGATGCTTCAGAGATCTGTGGGTGTGTGTACAGTGCAATTTGTCCAATCTCTGTGTATTCAGAATTGGGACAATTCACCTCAAGTGTTATTTCCAGAAAACTGATTGTCAAATATTATTCAGCCTTGCCTTCCTGGTGAAACCCAACCTGATATTATCTTTCCATTGCAGGATAAGCTTTGCTAACATTTTATTTAGGATTTTTGTAGCCAAATGCATGAGTGAAATTGAGATTCTCCTCTCTTCTACCTCATCCTCATCTGTCTTTTGCATTACAGTATTGCCAATCTCATAAATCAATGATCATATTTTCTTCTATCCTTTGGAAGGGTCTGTATATAAATAGAATGATTTATTCTTTGAACATTAGGTAGAACATACCTCTAGAGCTATCCAGGCATGCCATTTTCATTTTGGGAAAATCTTTTTTTTTTAAGATTTTATTTATTTATTAGAGAGAGAGAGAGAGAGAGAGAGAGAGAGAGAGGCAGAGACACAAGGCAGAGGGAGAAGCAGGCTCCATGCAGAGAGCTCGACGTGGAACTCATCCAGGGTCTCCAGGATCACGCCCTGGGCTGAAGGCGGCGCTAAACCGCTAAGCCACCGGGGCTGCCCAATTTTGGGAAAATCTTAAAATATGAGATTCAATTTACTTCGAGGCTAAAGCAGGACCCATATTTTCTGTTTCTTTTTAAATCAGTGTTAATTTTGATAAGCATATTTTTCCTTATACATTTCATGTATGTTTCAAAACTGTTGGTTTAAAGTTCATGACATCAATTTTTCATTTACTCTTTACTGAATCAGTAGTTATATTTACATTTTCATCCCTTTTACTGTTTATTTGAGATGTCCCTTTTTTCTTTTTCTTGAAAAATCTTACCAGACACTTCTCTATTCTTAGTCTCTTCAAAGAATCAACCTTTGTTTCATTGATCCTCTTTACTGAATGTTTATTTTCTGTATCATTGATTTATGCAATTTCATGGTCTCTTTTAGATTTATTATATTCTTAATTTTCTAACTCCTTTTATGCTTAGTTCATTCATACTGAGCCTTTTTTCTTTCCCAATGGAAGAATTCAGACTATAAATCTTCCTCTAAATACTGCTTTAGCTATATACACAACTTTAGTTTAATATTTCCTTTGTACAGTTTTAAGTATTTTCACACTTCCATTACAATTTCTCTTTAGATTCATGTTTCTATAAACTTTGTTGGGTTTTAACGTCTACAACTGGGATTTTTTTATCTTTTTGTCATAACTGCAGTGTACTCAAAGAATGTGGATTTTATGACAATTCTTGAGGCTCATGTTATGCCCTCATACATGATCAATTTTCAAAGACTTTTCATATTTGCCCAAAAAAACAATATAGTCTCTAAAAGTGATATGCATAGTTTATATATGTCCATTAGAATAAGCTTAAAAATGAGCTTTTTCATTTGCTTAATCTATCATTAACTTACAAAATTATGTAAAAAAAGTCTCCTACTTCATTGGGCATTTATCTTTGATTCCTGTTAATTTTTGCTTTATATTTTGGGGCACATTATTTACTGTATACAAGTTCAGAATTGTTTGATTTTCTGGGTCTTTTATCATTATGTACAGACACTTCAATGACATGCTTTTGCTCAAAGTTTACTTTGTCTGATATTAATATAGTTAATATTGTCTATCTCTTTTTCTTAAGATTTTATTTATTTATTCATGAGAGACACACAGAGAGAGGCAGAGACATAGGCAGAGGGAGATGCAGGCTCCTCACAGGGAGCCCAATGTGGGACTCCATCCCAAGACCCTGGATCACAAGTCAAAGGCAGACACTCAACCACTGAGCCATCCAGGAGTCCCTTTGTCTATCTCTTTCTTGGTCTTTCAGTTAGAGTTTAAATCTGACAATTGTTTTCCTTTAATTGATGAATTTAGCATTTATATTTATTATTATTCCTTTTTAAATGTCTTAACTTATTTTATTATGTTTTTTCAAATAGTTTTTGCCCTGATTTCTTTCTGTCTTTTGGATTGAAGGCTCTCTACTTTTTCTCTTAGTTTTTTCTTGTACTTGTTTGGAAGTTATAGACAGGCCTATTTTAGACATTTTCCTAGCAATATTAACATGCATACTTAATATAGTCTAAAGTTTATCAGTAGATTATCTTCCTACTGAAAAATACAAAAATCTTTATACTTCAATTGTTATCATCCTTTTTCCAATCTGTAAGCTATAAAAGTACTTTGGTTTGGGTTTGTCTCCAAACAAATTTGACATTACTTTGTTTTATGTTTTGATGCTGCTGAATTTTATTTAAATATTTACCAACATCTTTGCTCACTGTCCCCTCTTGAATCTCAGACCTTTTGCTTGTAATTGTTTTCCCTCTGCTTGAAATACATTTTTCTTTATAATTTCCTCCAAACTGGTTCCTAAAGTCTCTGTTTTTGTCAGTCTGGCAAAAAGACAGTTCAAGCAGGTGATGAATTCAGTTTAGTTCCTCTTTCTCTCTATCTCAGAACACGGAAGATATCTTCTGGCATCTGTTTTTGTTGTTCCAAGGGTCACTTATAAATCTAATTGTTGATTTTTTAAGAGTATGTATGATTCGTCTTTTTTGTCTTTTAAAAAATAATTGCTTGTGAGATCTATTTCTTTGGTATACTACAGCTTCTCTGTGCCTGAGTGAGAATTTCTTTTCGTTTATCATGTGTCGGACCTGATAGGTTTCCTCGTGTCTTTCAACAATGCTGAGAATCATCAGCTATTATTTCTTTATACCATCATAATTCTATCTTTCGTGTCTTAGCTGCCTGCCACCCCTGAAAACATATTTTCCAATCTTTGCTTCTGAGCTGCATGCTAGATAATTCTTTCAGTTCTAGCAGTTCATTCACTGTCTTCAGCTGTGTCTAATATACTATTAAATATGCCTGCTGAAGTTTTTCATTTTAATTAGTATATTTTCATTTCTAGAAATTATTTTTTAATTTACTTGATCATTTTTTTAGTTTCTTTACCCTGCTCCTAGTTTTAAGCACTTCTTTTCTTAAAAAAAAGATTTTATTTATTTATTTGACAGAGAGAGGGAGAGCACAAGCAGGGGGAGCAGCAGGCAGAGGCAGAGGGAGAAGCGACCCTTGCTGAGCAGAGTCTGGAGGCTTGATCCCA